AGACGAAAAGGAGAAGAGAGGAGAAATGGAGGAGGAGGAAGGGAAGGAGGAGCAAGGTGAGGCAATACTGTAATTTTTTTTTTCATCTCGCTTATAATTTTGGTGGGGGGCCTCAAACACACCGTTTCGACCCCGTTTTTGTTTTTTTTCTGAGGGGGGTGACGGGTCGTTCTCCGCACACGTCGTGCGCCGCACGGGATCAGTTGGGCGCGTGCGCCGCACGTAGGGAACCGCCCACACGACGTGCGCTTGCAAGTATGGATGATAGAGATGATGTCCTTAGGGTGTGCCCCTTGCGCCGATCACAAACGCAGATCACGCAGTCGCCCAGGCGAGTGGACCGCGTGCCACAAATGCCGCAGGTGTGTCCAGCGTGGGGCCCACGATGGGACCACCCGGGCATACGCCCACCGATGTTCTTTCACATACAATCATTCTTGGTTTGCAGGATGGCGAGATTATGTCTTCCTCGATTGGAAGGAACATTGATACAGTTGCACACAGGGATGGGTTGAGACAGGGCGGAGAGGAGGCGGTCACTTGTGGGGGCGCACAAGGTGCCACATTCACTGCGGAACAGGGCATTGAGGGGGCACAAATGAGGGTCACCCCGGCGACGACACACGCAGTTCCGCCTCCATACCTCGACGGCGGGCCCACTCGCGATGCAGGAGACGGGAGGTTCAACGAGTTCGGTGGTGACACAATATTGCCTCCCATTGTCTCTGCGACCCCATCCATGTTTCGAGTGGGGAAACCCCACGAGGTGGCTCTCGGCTTGGCGGAGACCACGACACACCATAGAGGTTTATCGCACACAAGGGAGGGTTGGAGCTCTACACAACGCAGCCTCACAGACTCTTTGGACAGAGTATCTTCCGGTATCGGTGCGAGGCAGGCTGGATAATTTTCGGGACTTGGAGAGGATCTGCCGACGGGAGCACCATCGAATCCACCACGTGGAGAGGAGAGATCTTGAGCACCTGAGAGCAGTGTGGCCCATGCAAATCCTGCGAGGGACATGACATCAGCTTTGTCGGTCGCTCAACATACTGACGACAGGCCTTCCATGAGTCACCATCCCGCGCCATCTGCTCTGGTATTGCCGACATCATCTTTCTATGACCGAGGGAGCTCAGTAGTACTTGATGGCTCAATGTAGGCAGAAGCGCATGCAGTCCTGCAGATGGGTCAGTTGGTATGTGTTCCATTGGGATTGCCGACGGTGATTGCCATGGTGCGATGCGTGACTGTGCGGACCAACATGGCAGATGGTTGGCACCGAAGACATCAGGCATTGCCTTCACCAGGGTGTTGAAGGCAAGTATATCATGAGGCTCAGCAAGGAGGAAGGCTGTTGCTGGTTCATCTTCACAGCATTCACGTCGTCATGGCAGCGCCCGTTGACGACACACGGACCAATCGCTGGCTCGGGGACTCCCCGTTCCTCGCCCATCAGCTTCCAACCCCGGCTTGGAGCAAACTGGCCAGATTCATGCCTGCCTCCCATAGAGCCCTTCAATGGTAAATCTGGTACTGGTTGCTGCCGATGCCAGACTGGCTCGTGTCCAGGTCACAACTGGAACAAAAAGGGATACTGTCCCCGATATGCTCCTACTGTGGCCACTGGTCACCGCCCAGAGGAGCAGATCTGGAACACTGCCTTTTGGAGTGCCCAACGGCAAACCAAATTTGGGGATTGCGGGACACAGCATGGCGCTCTCGCACGGGCTGGGACCTGCCGTGGGACCGCTGTGCAATACACCTTGGCCCCACCCCGGGATTTGTCTCCGGATGGACCCCGTTTGAGACCACCCTGTTTTTGACGACACGGTTAACTATCCTAATGACCATCTGGAGGGCAAGACGCTCCTTTGAACGCAAAGAACACACCTTCGGATTCTTACAGGCACAAACTCCATCAGAACAATCCAAGACACACTTTCCACTGTCACTGATTAACAACAAAGGGCGATCTCATAAAAACGTTCAAGGACACATGGATTGACCCGCAGAGCACACTGGCGACCGTGGAGGCGGACCGCATCCTGCGATGGGGGACACAGGCATCAAGACACATGGATTGACCCGCAGAGCACACTGGTGACCGTGGAGGCACTCCCCCCAGAACCATCACTGGAATCTGCGCCCGACCCACAACTTCACAATCCCCCCAAAGACCACGCCTCTGGTGATACTCACCCCATCCCAGCCTCAACCCCCAAAACCAGACCCGGGCCCAACTCAGCCCTCACAGG